TTAAGGATTAAATGGACTTTAAACCCATCCCTATAACAGACTTGTGCACTAAGTCTCGGGCCAAACTTTTGGTCAAGTGGTCCGCCAAGTTATGTTGCGATCTTACAAATTCCACCGAAATTACACCATTCATGATTAGTTCTCTAATCATACTATGTCTAACACCTAAGTGTCTAGACTTGCCATTATAAACATGACTATAAGCCTTAGCCAAAGTGGCAGCAATATCACAATGGATAGAAATAGGTGCAATCGGCTTCCTCCACAATGGAATCTCAAATATTAAATTTCTTAACCACTCCGCCTCTTTACCGGCGGTAGCCAACGCAACAAACTCAGATTCCATTGTTGAACTTGTGATACAAGTTTGCTTCTTGGATGCCCAAGAAATGGCACCTCCCCCAAGCAAAAATACCCAACCACTTGTAGAAGAATGATCCTCTACATTGGATATCCAACTTGCATCCGAATATCCTTCTAAAACCGAAGGATACTTAAAGTAACATAAACCATAATCCATGGTTCCCTTTAAATACTTGAACACTCTCTTCATTGCTTGCCAATGTTGAGTACTAGGATTACTAGTATAACGACTCAACCTACCCATGACATAAGCAATATCCGACCCAGTGCTTGTTATGGCATACATCAAACTACCAATAGCTTGAGAGTACTCAAGTTGTGAAATCGCCTTTCCTTTATTAGGCATCAACTTCACACTAGGATCCATGGGAGTACCAACGGGTGAACAATCACTACAATTAAACCTTTTGAGAATATTCTCAACATAGTGAGCTTGTGTCAAAGCAATCCCTTTGTTTACCCGTTTAATCCTTATACCAAGGATCACATCCGCCTCCCCCATGTCCTTCATGGAAAACCTTGATGATAACAACCTTTTGGTTTCATCAACCTGATTTTGGTCAGTTCCAAAAACCAACATGTCATCAACATAGAGACATATGATCACACCCGCCCTTAAGGCATCGAATCGGCTATAGACACACTTGTCCGATTGGTTTAAACTAAAACCATTGGACAAAATAACTCCATCAAACTTTTGATGCCATTGTTTGGGTGCTTGTTTCAGCCCATACAATGATTTGACAAGTTTACAAACCTTATGCTCATTTCCCGGCATAACAAAACCTTCCGGTTGTTTCATGTAAACTTCCTCATCAAGATCACCATTTAAAAATGCCGTTTTGACATCCATCTGATGTATAATCAGATTGTGTATAGCCGCCAAAGCAATTAACAACCTAATGGTTGTAATTCGAGCAACCGACGCATACGTATCGAAATAGTCAATTTCGGGTTTTTGTCTAAAACCTTGAATGACCAACCGAGCCTTGAACCTGTCAACAGTTTCATCCACCTTCATCTTCTTTTTGAAGATCCATTTGCAACCTAAGGGTTTAGAACCCGGTGGCAAATCCGACAACACCCAAGTGTTGTTCTCCATAATTGATGACATTTCATCATCAATTGCCTTCTTCCAAAAGGAAACATCTCGAGACTCCATTGCCTCTTTAAAGGACTTTAGATCATCCTCAACTTGGTAACAATATGAATATTGTACCCCCACTTCATCCCTTGAACCTTCCACTAAATACAAGTGAAAATCGGGACCAAAGTCTTTCACGATGTGGCCTCGTTTGCTTTTCCTTATTTGTGGTGCTTCTCGATTCAAAGCACCATCCAAACATTCTGGAACTTGCACCTCACTAGTTCTTGGAACTAGTTCCTTTGGTCTTTGAATTGATGAAAATCTCATCTCATCAAAGATCACATCCCGAGACTCAATCACGGTGTTAACCGCTACCGCATCATTAGGTTCTATTACATAAAACCTATAAGCCTTGGAATGTTCAGCATACCCTATGAATATGCAATCAATTCCCCTCTCCCCCAAAGTTTTCCTTTTGGGCTCCGGCAATTTTACAACTGCCCTACAACCCCATACCCGAAAATATTTCAAATTTGGCGCCTTTTTTTACCAAAGATCATATGGGGTTGTCTTGTTCTGTTTGTTTGGAACCCTATTTAGAACATAGCAGGCCGTGAGCATGGCCTCTCCCCAAAACCCTTCACTCAAACCCGAGTAGAAAAGCATGGAATTAACCATTTCCTTTAACACTCGATTTTTCCGTTCAGCCACACCATTTTGTTGTGGTGTATACGGAGCCGTGGTCTCATGAATGATTCCAATAGATTGAAAATAATGGAGATCCATATATTCTCCTCCCCGATCAGTCCTAAGACATTTAATCGGATTACCCAATTGCAATTCAACCTCGGTTTTATACACTTTAAATTTCTCTAAAGCTTCATCCTTAGTGTGTAATAAATACACATAACAAAACCGAGTTGAATCCTCAGTAAAAGTAACAACATACTTTTTATTGCCAAGGGAAGGAGTTGAGTGAAAGTCACATAGATCACCATGTACAAGATCCAAAATAGCCGAATTCCTATCAACATTAGGAAACGGTTGTTTTGTGATCTTAGTAAGCATGCAAGTCCTACACTTATCATTATATTAATATCAAAAGCCGGAATTAAACCATCTTTAGACATTTCATGCATTTTTCTAAAATTAACGTGACCTAATCTAGCATGCCAAATCATACAATCATTCATGGAAGATACCACAAAAACAGAATTATCACTAGAAATTCATTTATTCACAACATTTAAACGAAACATGCGATTTGATAAATATCCAAAACCAACAAACACACCCCCTTGGACAGAACATATTTATCGGATTCAATCACTTGTTTGAACCCCAAATTATTCAACATACATCCCGAAACAAGATTCTTTCGAACCTTCGGTACATACAAAACATCAAACAACGTAATTGTTTTTCCAGAAGTAAATTCCAAAACAACTACACCCTTTCCCAAGATAGGCACCATTGACTCGTCTCCCATGCGTAAGAAGGAACCGACCTCCACTGGTTCTAGATCTTCAAACCATCCTTTATCCTTACACACATGGCTCGTAGCCCCCGAGTCAATCCACCATGCACAGTCATCATCCTGTACATAAAAAGATTCTGGAATGAGTGATACATAATTCTGGACAGAATTATCAAAGTTAGTCAGGAACTGACCTCCTTTCCGTGGAACCAGGTCCTTAGACCGTTCCTGTCCACTGTCACTCGTTCCAACGCCATTCTTGTTTAGTTTCACATGGCAATCACACTTGACATGTCCAACCTTTTGACACCTCCAACAAACCAAACCTTTCGGTTTCTTGTTGGGTTTGTCATGGTTTTCATACTTGCGCTTTTTGCCTTTCCCCTTATCTTTCGAGTTAGATTTATTATCCTCAACCAAGTGAACATGAGCCAGTCTAGATTCAACTTCGCCCATAATTTGGTCATTCTCTTGCGCACGAAGAGACTCCTCAATGTGCAAGTGACTCCCAAGTTGAACCAATGACAATTCCTCATCTTGATGTTTTAAAGAACATTTAAAATCCTTCCAAGAGGGTGGATGTTTGTCAATTATACTCGACACGCCATAGGACTCATCAACACCTATCTTGTGGAGTTTAAATTGACCAATAACACGAAGGAATTCATTGTATTGTTCCATAACCGGCCTTGAGTCAACCATTTTATAATTATTAAATTCACTCACCAATAACTTCTTACTAGAAGCATCCTCGACGATGTATTTTGACTCAAGAGAATTCCACAATTCCTTCGCACTCTCAACGTTTTGGTAAATATCAAATAACGCATCGGACATACCATTAAGAATGTGGCCTCTACATATGTAGTCATCGTTCTCCCACTTGTTACGCCTCCTAGTTTGTTCCAAGGTTTCGTCCTCCATCACTTCCGGCATCGGAGTGCTCAACACGTACACAACCTTCAAAGTGGTGAGGAGGAAGTGCATCTTCTTTTGCCATCTACGGAAATCGTTCCCTTGAAACTTGTCCAATTTGTTGAACTTGGATGTCATCTCTTCCACGGTACTCATGATTATCACAAAGGAAATATCAATTCGATTGTTGGGGTAAATCACGTAGGGGGAGATAATCGAGTACTTGGATTGCTTAAGGATCATGTAAGTTCACTTTCGGAATTGATATTTTTCCCCTATGCCTGGGTTACAAAAAATTCAATCTAGGATAATACTTAAGGACACTCTAGAACTTAGACACAAGAACTAGAGCCAAACTAGTGAGCATATGGATTGATATCTTCAGTTGAATGCCAAAAATGATGAAGATATGTTGGATATGTTTCCTCATCATTCTCTGTACGAAATATGGTGATATATAACCATATTACACGTCCTGGGCAGTTGCAACACGTTCTGGAATAACTGTGACAGTTTTTGGAAAAACTGCACGAAACTGCCCAACCGCTCTAGACCTCGGTCTAGAACCACAGAGTTGGTCTACTGAGTGTTCTACCTCGAGTTCCACTGTCGTAGACACTTTGGAATAGAACTCGTTCTTATATACAAGTGTGCACTCCACACCTCCTAGCTTGTATTAGAACACGATTCTAATCCTCATTGGCACTCATGTCATTTCCAATTACACAAAATGGCCGGTGACACTAAAATCACCAACAATATTCAGGATGCACGAACAATAATTTAAGCTTTTCTATCTAAGAGCGGTCAAAATACATTCCCAGTCCCAAAAAGAGGAGCTTTGTCCCAAATCCCCCCCCCCCCCCTCCCAAATGTACTGCTCTATCAAACGAACCTATTTAAAAGACAAGTTAATTATTACTCCGTATGATGTATAAATTTAGTTAAATGAAAAAAATAGTTTCAAAAGTACATGCAGGATGACAGGAATTCACTACTAGGTGTTGTGCCTTGCCGGAATTTAAAAGTTGTACATTGACCAAACATGACTCGTTTTTGGGCTGAGGGAGTAGTTGGTAGCCAAGTTAATAGATCAAAATTTACTACTCCGTATTTATAATCAGATGCATTATTTGTTTGTATGGTCTGGTTTGGTAGGAAGGAGGAAGGGATGACGACGGAACCAAACTTTAGTGTGTCTGTTGTGCTGGGAAAACGCGATGAGGTAAGTGATGAGCACATTACTGAGTTCTATTACCATTGTTTCTAAATGTCTAGAGTACATGAATAAAATAATAATACCCCATAACAAATCCTGCAGCAAATGCTAGTTGCTTGTGCTAGACAGATTATTGAACATATAAGGTACTTCCACTTCTCTAGTGACTACAATTTCCTTTTGTCCTGCACAAAGCAGCCATGTTCTCTCAATCTTTACCATCTGTGGGGAATGTTGGATAAGTAATTAAGTAGCTTACAATATGTTTACAGTTCATCGGGATCTTCTAAGTCTTTGGTTCTCTCACTTGGTTTGAAAGATCATTCTATGGTTAGTACATCTAATAAACCGCCTTTCCGAGTATAATAGCTCTCATAATAACGATCATGTGTTCTATTGCAGAGCACTCTGAAGAGTATTGTTTGCACTGTGAAGGAAAGCCGTGTTTGGTAATCTCACATGTGGTTTATTCAGTTAGTTTCTTAAAATCTTGACAAGGCTGTATTTGTAGATAAATTTCATCGCATCATGAAATGTTCACATTGCATCATTCAATAGTCAATACAAACATTTATGTGATGTTCTATAAACGCTACATATTGCTTTCTCCATCCCCACCAAACTAAAATGGGTTCCCACACTTCTGTCTAGGGGTGGACCGGTTCCGGTTCGGGCCTGGGCCTGGCCGGGCCTCGGTTCATGAAAGGGGAGGCCCGGAACCGGCCCGGGTAACCCCCGGGTCTGGGCCGGGCCGGGTCTCGGTTCATGTAATTTTTTTTTGGCTTTTCCTAATTAACCCCCAACCCTCCCCCCTCACCCCAAACCACCCCAAACCCCCTCGCTGTATTCTTTTTTCGGATCAATTGGGTTGTCCTCATACATTGGCATTAGACCAAAAAAGCAGCATAATAATAATTCAAACATTCTTCTAAAGAACCAAGTCTAAAACGAGGATCGAGAACAAATGCAATACCATAAATATACGGAATATGTGAATAATATTTTAAAAACTTTTCCTTCATAAAACTAGCAAAATAACTCACATAATCAGCATTCTCAAAATTTGAAAAAGCACCGGCAAGATTAACAACTTCACGAATAAATTGGTTTGAGGTAGGTTTATAAACATGACTAAAAGTTTCAGTTGCATTATTAAAATATATCAAAGCATTACAAATTTTTTAACAGGTGTCGATCTCAGCCGAGTTTATAATATAGTTATCATATTGTTTCATAAAAGCAGGAAAATGTTGTTTATATCTAAGAAGAACTCTAATTAACTTATAAGTACTATTCCAACGAATAGACAAATCTTTAGGAAGAGCCACATATTTCTCACATCTTTCTATCAAATAAGCATGCCCTTTTTTCTAAGTTGTCCATTACCCCAAATACGTCTAATCCCCCCTTGACTACCTCCAAAGATGCTCCCAACGCTTTTAGACCATCTTGCACACATAAATTTAGAACATGACATGCACATCGTTGATGAAAAAATCTACCCATCAAAGATGTAGAACCACACAATTCACGCAATCTAGGAATAGCAGCAGTATTATTAGTAGCATTATCAAAACCAATAGCAAACACCTTATCAATTAAATTATACTCAATTAAAATACGCTCAATCAAAATATAAATATGTTCAGCGGTGTGACGATCATTAAATTCACGGAAACCAAGAACACGTTTATGCATATGCCAATCATTATCAATATAATGTACAGTCAGACCCAAATAATTTAAATTATGACAAGTATCCTTCCATATGTAAGAACATACAGTAACACGCCCATCAAAGTTTGCAAAATAATTTTGTAACCTTACCTTTTCCGCACCATAAAGCCTTGAAATTTCTTTCTTAACCGTTTTGCGACTATAACCTCTATATTGCGGATTTAAACAAGTTTGTTCATAATCACGAAAAGCAAGACTTTCAGAAAAAAATAAGACAAATTTTGTGCATCATTGTATGAGAAATTACCCAAAGCTTGTTGGTTATTTGCAAACCTCGATATTTGAGTTTGCTTCCCCGTTCCGCCGCCTAATTTTGCATACTCCACCGGGTGTTTGGACTTAAGATGTCTTGTGGCGGATCCGTATCCGCCGGAAATCCCCAAGCTATAGTTTTTCTTGCACCAATTGCAAGTTGCGGTCCAATTCCCGGTGTTCGGGTCCTTTCACTTAGAAAAATTATTAGCCATTAGTTCAGATTTACTTTTTTTCGTATCGGTTTGGGATGAGGCAGGCTCGTCGGCGTCGTGGCTGCCACCACCCTCCTCCTCGTCGTCATCGTGGCTCTCCGGAATTACTTCCTCCACATCGTCGTCCTCGAGCTCTTCTTCGTCAATGGTCCTCGATTGGTCTTGAAAAAAACGGCTATTATGTCGGTGCAATTCTTGTTCTATTTGTTCGTCGGTCATCGCATCCCCATCCCTCCTTGCGTAACCCGTATCAAAATCATCTCGACTTTGAGATGAAGAGCCGATATGTGATTTACCTTTGCGGGGATCTCTTCCTCGCAAGCTCTTTCGTTCGGTTGCGCTCAAGGTTACCCATATCAACCGAATATCTAGGACGATCCATCTAAAAAATGTAACAAATATTAAATTGCAACAAATATATTAATAAGAGTAATTAAAACTATTTTAAATAATACTTCAATCTAAAAAGTTTACTTTAATCAAATAAAATTCTAACTATTAATTCGAGTTATAGCAAAATACTTTAATTCGAGTGAAATGTGAAGAAAAAAAATAATGAATTGAACCAAAATTTATAGCAATACTATTGTTTAATAAATAGTCAAATTAACTAGTGAATTAACTAGTTTTGTGTACTACCTATTTTTTTTTACTAACAATCAAATTAATATAGTTTAACTTTAACTATAATGAGAATTAACTAGTTTTTTAAACTAGAGTCAAATGTAGCAATTAATAAAAAATTGTAATAAAGTAATTAACTACTTTAATGAAAAATTATAGGGATAAGGGTCAGATAGGGCCTCAAACTTGAAAAAAAATGTCAAATAAGGCCATATTTAGGATGCTCTGTCTGGCCGACGCCATTTGGGGTGATTCCCGGTGGAATTTTTTGATGAATTTTTTTGAAAATCTTATTCATTAAGTCTAGTTTACTCATATCAAAGTTGAACTAAAATTTCAATCGGGAAGGCATACAAATGAGTTATTGAAGATAACTGCGCAGTTAAAAGATCAGTTATCTTCAAGAATTCATTTGAATGCCTTCCCAAATGAAGTTTTAGTTCAAATTTGATATGAGTAAACTAGACTTAATGAATAAGATTTTCAAAAAAAATCATCAAAAAATTCCACCAGGAAGCGCCCCAAATGGCGTCGGCCGGACAGAGCATCCTAAATATGACCTTATTTGACATTTTTTTCCCAAGTTCGAGGCCCTATCTGAACCTTATCCCAATTATTATAGTTTAACTTTAACTATAATGAGAATTAACTAGTTTTTTTTCAAGTAATGTTAATACAAAATTAAACAAGTGTAAATAATAGAATGATTTCGTACCTCTTTCGGTCTTTCGGTCTTTCGGATGGGAGTAATAGAATGACTTCAAATTGATTAGATATAATTCCAACTATATTAATAGATATAATAAATGTATAAGTAATATATAATTAGATAAGAAATATAAGTAATATAATGTATGTATTTATAAATTATAAGTAGATAATTAATATAAAGTAGGTATATAAATATAATATATTGGAGAATAAGAGAATTTGAGAAGATGAAGATAATTAGAGAGTAGTGAGTTAAGAGTAGGATTTAGGAAGAGTTGGAGAAGAGATATGGAAAAATGTTTAAGATTAGGAGTATTTATAGGTTTCTTTACCCCCCACCCCCACCCCCAAATCGCCCGGACCCCCCTGCAGCCCACCCAACGGCTATATAGCCGTTTGGGTTGTCCCCAGCCCACCCAACGGTCATTTTTGGCCCAAATAATTTTTTTTAAAAAGAACCATTGTGAACCGGACCCGGGTCCGACCCGGCCGGGCCAGGTCACCTTTTGTAGGAACCGAGCCCGCCCCCGCTTCCCCCACCGGTTCGGGCCCACACCCGGTCCTAGACCGCCAGACCGGGCCGGTCCCGGTCCCGCACAGTACCGGGCCGGGCTGGGTCACGGGCCGGGTGGCCCGGACCGAATCCATCCCTAATCTGACCCAATAGAATCTCTTGACGGTTTCTTTTTGGCATGTTGTTTAAAATGATAAAGATATTGTGCAATTGAAAGAAATATATAAATAATGTAGGCAAAAATAATATAAATATCTCAAACTTTGAATGAGAGTGAGATCAATCCCCCAAACTTGCACATGTAATATGTAATTCTGAACTTTATATAAAAAGTTATTTTCGCAACATGATTGCATATATTTTCATTCATAAATGTTACGTAGTAATTGGAAAAGTACATAACAGATACTTGTGGTTGAGTCCGTTTTCAGATAGGGTCATATGTTTCATTTTTTGTCAAAGTGGATCATGCGTTTGAATTCTGTTATCACAAGAGGGTCACACCGTTAAAAACACTTGAGGAAGACGGTTGATAGTAACTCCGATTTCCAAAAGTGCCCGGAAAATTGAAAGAAAAATACCGGGAGCTGTGCCTCGTCAAGATGACCTCCAAACCACCTTTGCTTTTGGATTTTTGTGATATGTGGATTATTTTTAAAAATGAATTTGCTAATATCACTTTTCGATGAACCCTTAAGGGCGGCTAAAAACAAAAAAGAAAGATGGCCTAGCGGTCGCCTCGTTGAGGCGCACCTTCGAGTAATTTTCTTTTAATTTTACGGGCACTTTTGAAAATCGAAGTTATTGTTCATCGTTTTCCTCCGACTATTTTTAACGTCGTCAGGTGTCAGAACCATGTTGTGATAACGGAATTCAAACACATGAACCACTTTGATGACAAATGAAACACATGACCTTATCTGAAAACGGGCCCAACCACAAGTATCTTTTCAGTATTTTTCCCATGTTAATTTATGGTGTTATGTTCATAATTTAAAATACACAAATCATTTATGACGATGCAATTAAAATTAGATTGAACCAAATGTAACATTACTTATTTCACAAACAGAACTGTAAAATGTTAATTGCATCCTAACAAAAGTTTTTATATATAAAGGAAATAACTTATATTAAAATCAAACGAACCAAAGTAACAAACATGTCCCAAGACCTACATCTCCCTCTCTCCAAACAAAACCAAAAGCCCATCACCCCCTCACGTCATGATGAGACATAGAATAGTCCACCCCGGATAGAGCGAGATTAATCGTTGAAATGGTGAGAACAAAGAGACTATTAGCGGTTGAGTCGGCATGATTGCCTCCCAACAGAAATATATCTAATGAAATAAATCAAGCAAAAACTCTACCCCCTTAAGTGTTCGAAATAAAAATAACAACGAAGCTCATAATTAAACAACTCAAAAAGAGTAAAACAGAATTAAATAAAATAAACTTATGGAGCAATCGAATCCGTACTTCAGGCGTCATCTTCCATGGCGGCGGTTCAGGAGGGGGGCGGGTCATCAACCCTTCATCTTTTTCAACCAACATCTGAATCTGAAATTCTCCATGTCACTTCAAGCAAAGCCTGCCACACAATCCCTTAATCTCGTTCGCTCCTAAAAGACCACCACCACAAGCACTTAATTTGGCTGATCCTGGGCCTTCCACCTTCCTTTTGATTGGCATAGTAGTTTCCTTGGCGCCTTCTCCTGCAGTCCTTGTTGATCCGTTTGTGAGGGTCGCCCTTCCCAACGACCGAGCCTGGACAGTCTCTTCCCTCATCTGCGTTGAAATGGTTGAGCGATTGGATATCGCTGACCTCAAACTTCCGCAGACTAGAGTCTAGAACCATAGTTGTGTCGTCTATTCTAACAAAAGTTTAGAGTATTTAAAATTATGTACTTATAAAAAATTATATTTGTGAAAGAAAAAACATGCGACCATGACGTGAAAATAACAATACAATAGAGGGAATGATAATTACATATTACATATAAAGGTTGAGATATTTATTTCACACTCATTCAAAATTTGGAATATTTATATTATTTTTTCCAATAATGTATAAATAATGCATGCAATTTCTTTTGAAATGAAAGTGTAAAGTTAATTATGGGTAAAAAGTGACAATGTAAAGAAAAATCAGAATATAAGGAGGATTGGAGGAATAATTATTATAGACTGCATAAGCTATTTCCTTCCCCCCAAAAAGGATAATTATAGACTGCATGATAAAATAATACACTCACTAGAGGAGTAAGGGTTTCTTTTAAACAATAATGGATAAAAATGTGACTTTTGATACTTTAGTGAGTATAAATAGTAATTTAAATGATTATGATGATGTCCAAATTTACATTATAGTGACTGTGATGATATACTCATAAAACTAGTAACATTTTTACGTGACAATAAAAATTTGACTTTTGATTAGTCACATTTTATTTCAGTAATAAATTTGATAGAGACTATATTGTTTTAATATAATGATTGCATTTACCTGTATTGATTCAATTTAATGGTGACTATTCTTTCAGTTTCTAATCGACCGGCTCATAACAACTAATTATTATTTTTAAATTTTAACTTTTTTATTTGTGTTGATGTAACTTTGTATAATAAAAATTTGCACTTAAAACTAGAGTAAATAACTAATGAATTTTTTAATTTAGCTAGCATATGCAATATCAATGTTATTTGAAAGTCATTTTTTTAGTTTAATCTTTTTATAAAAAAAAATCGCATAAATAAGACATAGTTGTATCACTAGTATGTAGTACCAACACCCCCAAATGTGTCACTTCATGTGTATATAAAAGACAATAAACAAATTAGATCATTTATTATAATTAATTCATAATATTAGTATAATTGTTAGCATCTTTGTCATTTAATATAGTATAGTTATACAGATCTTACCTTATACAAATGCTTACTAAAGGTATAAATAATACATGTAACCAGTGGAGCCTGAGGTAAGAGCTGAGCAAAAGTTGAGAGCTTCTCCCGGGAAAACTCGCCCAGTTCCTTTTGCGTTTACCGAAGTATGGAAGCTACGTTTGTCTTGATTCTTGGGTTGTAATCTGCTCGTTATTGTTGTTTTTGGTCGAGATTCATCACTAATCCTTATCCGACCTTGGATTTTGGCTTAGAACGATGTGCTTCGGCCAAAAACTCAAAAACTAGATGGTGCGGCGCTGATTTTACTGTGTACGAGGGTTTACGAGGGTCTTGATTTCAGCTCGTTTCTTAGTGTTTCAGAGACGAAATTCACATCTGAGTGCAATTCCGAGCTTGGATATGTGTTTAGTATGTTAGTTTTTGGCTTAAAACCTAAAAACGTTCTGGTTCGTGAATGTTACTGTTTATGGCGTAGTAGCTTCGATTCAGGCCTGTTGTTTCTGGAATTGAGTTTTGTAGTTTGTTGATCCTCTTTCGATACCCTGTTGCTAAGCGAGAGATTGGTAAGTGGAACCCCAATTCTGGACAGATTTTCGGGTACTGTACACCTGCGAATTTTGGCTTACCTTCAGGGGCGCGACGAGCGGTTTTTGACGAACTGCAGGGATGGGAAAAATTAAACAGAGCAAGGGGGAGCTTTCAGCAAGAATTACCAAGTCAAGAGCAGGGTTTGAGCTATTGGATGGGCTTGAAGATGAATTTCCTTTGCTAAGCTCTACTAAGCATGCTGAAAAATCTGCTACTAAGGAAGCTGGAAAAAAATCTGCTGTTGGGGAAGAAAGTGTGCAGGCAGCAGTACCTAAACCTACGTCTGCTGTTGCAAAGGAACCAACATCGACTGGGAAGTCATCTTCTTCTAAACCTGTTAATTCGCAGGTTGGATTGGCTTCTCAAATTGACCCAGGGACTGCAGGGACTGTTAATCAAGCTGGGAGTGCTGCTAAAGCTAGACCTACGGCCTGTGCAGGGGAGATTTCTGGAAAAATTGTTGCTGATGCAGCAGGTATTTCAGCTACCAAACCTGGGCTGACTGCCCCAACCCAGGTGGATGATGAACCAGCTCTGCACAAACAAACTGCTGCTAAACAGTCTGGCGGAAACAAGCCTGCAGTACATGATGATGTTACTGCCAATAAGAGCCACGATAAAAATGGGGGTGCAGGGGTTGCTAGAGCTTGGTCTTCACTTTTCAAAGACAACCGGGACACTTCAAATGGTTTGAAATTGAGGTATATCCCGCCGAAAGGTACTTCTTTAGATTTTACGGATAGAGTCTTGCCCTCTATGGTCGACATGCGGGGATTTTGTCTTGTGGGTTTCTTTACCGGGAAGTTTCCGGGCCTTAAAGCGGTGTATGACTTGAAAAACACTTGGGGGTTACTTGCATGGTTGATAAGCATAACAAGGGATGAATTATTTTCAAATTTAAAAATGATGAAGATAGATCAAAAGTGTTGAATGGAGGTCCTTATACCATCTTTGGTATACAACTCATGTTAAAAACGCTTTCGGAAGATTTTTCCTTTGATGACGATGAGTTTCTCAAAGTCCCGATTTGGGTAAAATTTCCTAATCTACATATGAAACTTTGGAATGAGGAGGCTATGAGTGAGGTTGCATCTATGGTAGGGGTCCCGCTTTCTACAGACAAAGTAACTCAAGATAGGAGTAATCACCACTTTGCTAGAGTTCTGATTGAGGTTGATCTTTCTAAACCACCCCCGCTTTCTTTTCCTATACGGTTACCTTCCGGTAAGGTAGTCAAACAAATGGTGGTTTATGAAACTTTCCCTCACTTTTGTTTCCATTGTAAAATGTATGGACACCATCCATTCATTTGCAATAAATTGGCATCAAAAGAACGGGACTTGGCTATTGTTGATAAGAAAGAGAATATTCTGAATGAGGGTTCTCAAGTGGATATTGTGGAAATTGATGTACCTGCTGCCCAGCCAGCTACCCAGGAGACTCCAGCTGATTCTGCTGCTGCTTACCCGACCGGGTGCTACACTGACCCGACCGGGTCTATTGGGCAGGCTGTGTCCCAGGTGTCTGCCAGCGCTGATATGGGTGGTTCTACGGGTTTGCACACAGACCAAGGGATTGTAGGGACTGAGCCCACTATCTAGGGGGCTAAATCAGACTCCGTGCCCGAATCAGAGGAGGAAGATGACACAAAAGAGGATGAATCTGATGATGAGCCGAAAGATGAGGAGGAACAGAGAATTCTTGATGAATACTGGGGAAAAATTTCTCAATATAAGAAGATGAAGAAAAGGATGGTAGCTGAGCCTGCTCAAATAGGTTTAGGCTAAGTTGATACTGGTTCCCACTAGCGGTTATTTGATTGTCCTTATTTAATTCCTCTGATAAGTGGATATGGGGAATGCCCCGTTATTTTGTTGATACATTACATTTAGGTTAGATTCATCTAACTTAGATAGTCTTTTTAGAGTTTGTGTGATACATTGTAAAATGTTATTTTTGGGTGTTTTTTAATATATACTTACATTTCATCCAAAAAAAATACATGTAACCAGTGAATGAATTAGTGAATTCAGTTCAAAAGTGTTTTATTCTCTAATTCTTTTATGGTTTTCGGAGACTCAGTAGCTCTAACCGGCTCTATCTCCCTTATGGTGAACACTAACACAACAACCATTTTAAAAGGTTCTCCATCAACAAGCAGATCTAAGAAACCCTTCTACTGGACAATTGGCCTCCTTACCGGTGTCTCTTTTACCTTAGCCAACAATTATTTAACACCATATGGTCTCATCGTGTTCAACACTTTAACTTTAACCCCAATCATTTTCCAGAAAAACTAGATAGTCATTATCCAATATGGCGTGAACATGTACTTGATCCCTTGTTTGACTCTCATCTCAACTAGTACATCAACGAAGAGACTACTCCATCCCTGAAAACGACACTGTTGCCTCAGGTGGAACATGCAAGACTGATTTCTACATCATGCTCTTGTCTTCTCTCTCAGCTCAACATGCAAACCCATTGTTTGCTCTGCACACGCCTCTCCTATAGTTTGGAAAACCCTTCTTTGATGTACCTATTCCTTTTTGTTGCATGAATATTTTCCCAAGATCCCCACTTTGACCCATATCTTTAATCATATGAATGTTCTAACTATGTTGCCCCTGCTTTCCTTCTTATTTAATTGTTCATTTGCTCTAATTTCTATTTAGTTGTTCCCGTAAAACAATAACTTTTCGGTATAATTAGCTTACATGTTGGATACTTAGATTGATTTCACACTCGATTCTCCCGACACACCGTCCCATGAGATGATCTAGAATTTCCATATCTAGACCCCCCTGATGAGCATCGTAAAGAAAATGACTCATCAAATTTTGACACCGTTGCCAGGGATCGAACCCGGGTCACCTGCGTGACAAGCAGGAGTACTTAAACATCTTGCCCTTCTTATCACTAAAAAAATCTCTCTTCATTAAGTATTTCATTTGAGAATGTTACCAAGGATTTTTCTTGATGGAGTATATGGCCCAGGGACCCCTGGCCCACAGACTCCTACTACTTCAGCACAGACCCAACAGGCCCAAGAAGCGCATGAGGCCCAAAACACCGCTGCCCAAGGTCCAAAGAGCCCACAATGCGCTTAGGGACGCCTTCGGCACCATACTCGAAGGCCCAAACTACAGGAGACAACTGATTTTAAGCATACAAAGCTGCTGGGAGAAAATGGCAGAAATTAGGAACCTTCGGCCCCTAGGTGCCCTCGGCATATGGGTAGCCTTCGGGTACACGGAGCCTTCGGCAACAGCGTAATCGTCGAAGATTCCCTTAGGGGACAGATAACAACCGCATTTAATGTGACGTCACATCCACCCACCGCATTTAATGCGGTGCACCTGCGTATGCCGGTGCCACCTCGATTGAGATGACCCCTCGACCGTTAGATTGTTAACACGTGTACTCTCATCGCATTTATGGCTGCTATAAATAGCAGCCCTTATTCACCTTGTAAAGCACGCTGAGTTCATTCAATACATTTGACTCTCTCTTACTTGTTTGCTTTGGCTTCTCTCTAAGTTATTCCCCGTAATAACCCTTCGGATAAGCTACCCCTCGGGTACAATATCCATCATTTCTCTTTGTGTCTCGTGTGCAAGTAATAAAAGGTACAAGTTACCTTTTGCAACATCCTCTCTTTCTAGCTCCGCCCTCTAGATTCAATTTACATAGATGTTTGGGATCCTTTTCTTATTACTTTAGTTGATGATTTTCATTTCTATGTTATATTTGTAGATCACTATACCAAATGTATGTGGTTCTCCACCGACCACCATCACCCATACGTTTGAAATAACTTGAGTTTTTCAGTAATAAATAACTTATTCTGATGGGGGTGAGTACATTACCCTAGGGAAATCCCTAGGAACATGCGGTATTTCTCACATGCTAACTCTTCTCTACACTTGAGAACATAATGGATTCGTTGAACGGTGACATCGTTACATCATGGATATTGGAAACATCCTACTTCACCATGATTTCATGCCTCTTCAATATTGGTTCTATGCCTTTCTTATTGTGGTGTATCTCATTAATTGACAACCTTTCAATCAATGTTATTTTTTCACTCCATACATAACACTTTTTCATCAACCTTCTCACTACACAAAATATGTTATTTTTGAGTGTTAAGGATTTCCTTGGTTGCATCTTTACACAACACATACATTAAAATCACACTCTACACCTTTTGTTTTTCTTGGTTATTGGGATCAATAAGTGCTTATCATTGTCTTGGACCAACAACTAACCATATCTTTGTGAGCAAGCATGTTGTGTTCGATTACTAAGTTTTCATATTTATAACACCACAACACATGTTATGAACATATCCTCCAAAGTTGATAACTCGCTTCGGTCTTCTGTTTCTTTTCATCCCACTTCAGGTGCTACGATCACGAGAGTGTCTCCTATTACTCATACTTCACGAAACAAAATATCTTCTATATATATGTCACTCACTACCTCAAACTAAGGGCTTTCATAAGTGCCTAGGGATTGATTATTCCGACACTACACAATATATTTTTACACGAGATTTTAATGATGGTTCTAGGTTTGTGTGTCATCTTCGAAAGTTCATTCATGGCCTCAAATAGGAGCCTCGAGTGTGGTATCAATCCGTCAACGGGTTTCTTCTTAGTCAGTTTTTACAAGCTTTTTCTTATGCTAGTCTCCTCATATTTTTGTCTCATAAATCTTACATCTATCTATTAATTTATGCGAATGATTTTATTTTTACTGACTCTACACATTCCTAATACATTAGACTATTGATTCATTGGCGCACCAAATTTCTACCAAGGATTTAGATCCTTTCATTATAGGCATGTAGGTTACCCCTCACATGATGTAATCTTTCTTTGTCAACAAAAATACATTGTGGACTTGATATAGATATGAAAACACATGAGCTTAATCTTGTCACCACGCCATTAACTTCCTTAACCTCGACCTGGGCTCTTGTGATACCACTCTTTATTTGAGTCTCACCAGTTTGGACAGTGCCTTCACTCTTAACAAACTTGCTCAATTTATTCACAAGCCTACATGCAATCACTGCCAACTTGTAGACCGTCTCTTGCGCTATCTTCAAGGAACTGCCGCCCACTACCTCTTTTTCTGTTGTAGCTCGTCCCTTCCTCTGTGTGCTTATGATGCTGATGAATGGGTAGAAAATTCAAATGAACGCTCCTCTACTAGTGTACATGCAATATTTCTTGACCAATCACATATTTCTTGGAATTCTACCAAGCAGTGGACTATTGCTAAGTTATCCACAGAGGCAGAATACTAAGATCTTTTCACCGATGCCTCTAGAATCATTTGGATAGAATATCTCCTCCATGAGTTGCAACATCTATCCATTTCTCCTCTCCTCCTCCTTTATGATACAAAGGTACTGGTACCTCTTCAGCAAATCATGTCTTCCATTCGAGAATGAATGATATTGCTATTAACTTCAATTTTATTCGTCAACATGGGCTTATTCATGTTCATCATATCACACCTCATGAACAACTAAATGATGCTCTCACCAACTCGCTTCCATTAAAGCGCTTTACTCTTCTCAAAGATAAGCTCATGATTCTTGGGAGTGATCTAGTATCTAGCTTGCGAGGGTGTAACAAAGACAGTGAAAAAAAACAGATCAATTATTATTGCTAATTCATAGTATTATTGTAACTGGTTGTTACAACCGTTGACATCTTTGTCACAAGATAGTATAACCGTGTTGAGTTTAAGTCCTGGTAGATCCGAAGGCCCAACACAACCCTTCGAATTATATGGGTGGTTAAATAAAAGAAAGTGTTTAGGAAAGACTAACAGCTAATAGATCACTCAACAGCTCCAATTGCATTGACAAAATAAGGTTGATTACAGAGAAATGGTCGAACAGTAGTTGCGGTCCACTGTCTAATACAAGAACTAAAGTAAGTATAATGCTTGTGAGTAAACAAATGCTAACCCCTTTTCATGGAATAAATGCAGCTATTTATACTAGATATGAGTTGGTGAGGGGGATGATGTGGCCAAATCCGATTGGTTGCTTTCTTTACTACTTGTGCACCCATGCTCCCACTTGTGGCCCCCATACTCTAGCATTAAATGCACACTGCCACTTGTACGGCTCCTGATTCGGCTCTGGGACCCACTAAACCATCAATCTGGAGGAATGTTGACCATCCGCCAAGTGTGGACTAAGGCCCGTTCGGGATATGCTGAACGGACTCTTCACCAGTTGGTCAGATCCCGTTTGGATGCTCCTTGCTCCGCTTTAGGATTGCCTTTGCTCTTGGGCCATAGGGATATTCTGGGTCGGTATATTGGGCCGGACCCTAATATCCCAACAAACAGCTATTTAAATCTTACCTTATACAGATGCTTACTATTTGCATAAATAGTACAAGTAACTGGTGAATGAATGAGTGGATTTAGTTCAAAAGGCTTTTTTCTCTAATTGGGTGAGGCCATATTACATCCTCAGAGCTCAAGGATTGCCTTGTCCTATGAACTCTTCCTTAACAAAAATATTCTAAGATAAAACATTATATCTAGGAGAATAAGTTACATAAACTCGAATCCATTTGTATGTACAACATCAAAGCCATGTTAGTGACCTCTTCCTCAAAAAATCACCCAATCAACGTCAAACTTAAGTCATCAGCCTCAGTTTTCATCCACTCAACACTTACGTAAAATTGGAGACACGGGAGATGAGGAACTTACCCCAAAAGACATCAAAATTAAAGGGAAATAGCAATAGTAGCGAGATGAAACACATACCAAAGAAAACAACACTCATATATAAATGTTAGGTGAAATCTTTAGTTCTTAAGCTTCGTTGGATCTTCCATCATCCGAGGAAAGCTGAGGGAGAATAGGTTGAAGTTTGGTTGGACTCATAACATACACTTGTAGTTAAACTGTGCATGGCAATTTGGCTAACCTGATATGACACAAATTGATCTTCGGCCAAGAATGGTTGATCGAGTCTTGGCATAGTTCTTCACAAAGGCAGCCATTTGCATC